CTACAGGGGAAGCTAAGAAATGTTCAGGGAACAGGGGATTTCTATTGATGTTCTACTGGGTAAGGGGAAACAATGTCCAGGAAAACAGGGAATTTCTATTGATGTTCTAGTGGGTAAGGGGAACAATGGTCAGGGAAACAGGGAATTTCTATTGATGTTCTAGTGAGTAATGGAAACAATGGTTAGGGGAACAGGGATTTTCTAATGATGTTTTACAGGGTTGTCAGGAAAAATGAAAGTGTTTGTTCAGGATGCAGGGGCTGGTATGTCCGAAGGAGTGGGAAGCAAAATCTCATGTAGGAACAAAGTGTCCAAGTGTCTTGAAAGGGGATCTGTAGCGGTCTTGATCAAGGTCTTGGAGTAGGTGGTAGAGGCAGTCCTCAGCGGCTGCGACAGGTAGAAGTCGAAGAAGCGTAGCAGTAGTTCAAATGTCCAAAGTCCAAGTGCTAGGGTGCGTCCGGTACACGAACTGCAATGAGGTCTGATCTGGAAGCAAGGAAGTCGCAGACTGATGCAAAGATCCATGCCACAAGTTGCTGCTCCAGTAAGTCTGTGAGTCGGGATGCCGGCCGATGAAACAGCACGGTGGCCAAACCAGCTGCATAATCTCCATGATCAGTGAGCCAGCAGGCCATCATCCTCGTGCATTTGCCATTAGATCCTTTATCGCCGGCGTCACGCAGGTCCACAAGCATTGGACAAGAGAGACAAGGTAGTGGAGAGGACAAATTGGACAAGGCTAGGCGAGGGCAAGGGCAGATCAGACATCAGGAATCAGGGTCGAGGCAGAGCAGAGCAGGGTTGCGAGGTTGTAGCAGGGTTTTAAGCGAGGGTTTAGGGTTTATGCCGGGGTATAGTTAGGATACAGGGTAGGCACGATCATAGGCACAAACAAGTTTCATGGCATTCTTTAGATTATCAAGGCGTCCCCATGTTGATTCTTCATCAGGGTTTCCGGTCCATTTTACTTTGTATTCGCTGATTGGTTCCGGGTGGTCTGATACTTGAGTTGTTCTTCGTCCTATGATTGATTCGACTATGAATTCTGGGCCTGTTGGAAGCATGATTGGTGGAGGTCTAGGATAAGGGCGGTCAGCGAACTGGGGCGGGGATTCGTGGTATTCCTTGAGGTATTCTACGTGGAAGACTGGGTGGACGTTGCGCATGTCAGGTGGAAGCTGAAGTTTGTAATTCACAGGAGAGGTTTGTTCAATGATGGGGAAGGGACGGAGCCACTTGTTCGAGAGTTTCTTGGACAAGCCTTGTTCGGGTTCAAAGCGTTTGGCAGAAAGCCAGACTTTGTCCCCTACCTTGAATGGCACGTCACGTCTGTGTTTGTTAGTCATGTTGGCTTGTTGTTCTTGTGTTCTTTCAAGGGCTTCGGTTGCTTCTCTGAGAAGTCTGTTCATTGTTGCTACCCATTCATTGAGAGAGGGGCAAGGGGTGGAGGGGCTGAGATGCGAGGGAAGCAAGAAATCAGAGGGCAAGCGGGGATGGTAGCCAAGGTCGAGGTAGAAAGGGGACGTGCCAGTGGAGGGGCAGACAGCATTGTTGTAGGCAATCTCGGCAACTGTGAGCAATTGATCCCAATCATGTTGGTGTGGATGATCCGCAGAATTCTTTGGAGAGTATCGTTCATCTTCTCGGTCTGGCCATCGGTCTAGGGGTGGAATGCAGTGCTATACTTGAGCGTGGTTCCGAAGGCTTGGAAGAGGCGTTTCCAGAACTGTGATAGGAAGCGGGGATCACGGTCACTGATGATGTTCTCGGGGAGACCGTGGTGGCGAGCGACATSATCGAAGAAGAGTATGGCGATGTCTTTGGCATTGTGCGAGGTGGTACAAGGAATGAAGTGGGCGTGTTTGGTCAGACGACAAACAATGACGTAGATGCAATCATGCCCACGGTTGGTCTTGGGGAGGCCGCACACGAAGTCCATGGAGATGGACTGCCACCGGTGGGTAGGGATGGGCAGTGATTGGAGCTTGTCGGGCTTGGCCCGGTTCGAGGGATTAAGTTCGATTAACGGCCTGACAGGTGGGGCACGAGCGGATGTATGATTTGACGTCGGCGAGTTTGAAGGTGTGGGGGTACAACCACAGGCCCTACCCTCCTTTACCACGTCAACCTGTGGTGTGGTAGGCCGTAGCGCAGAACAGTCCCCCATGTCCCTTGCCTCGATCTTCTCTGCAAGGATGCAATAGCTTCCATAGCCGACCTCACCACGTCGGTGCACCTCGTGATCCTCACAGCTTTAGTGTCCGCTGCACATATGTTATTTCTGCCTGATGTCTAGATGGACTAGACTAGATCTCACATAGAGGAAGGAAGACTTGGCCATAATCAACATTTATGCCCCTAACACTTAAACATGAAGAAGAACATGTTTGGAGGTAATCAAACAGGAATGAAACTTGTCATGACAAGGTTGCCATAGGTGAACCTACTACGGAAGGATCATTTTAAAAATAAAAAAAAACACGAAAAGAATCCTCGAACCAAGGAACAACTTAGGCATTCTAAGGACTAGTCAAGAGGGAGTGCTAAGGGTTGCCACAAATTTCTATCAATTATTTGACACTTTAAGGGCATCGGAACAGGACCAAGTGGATAAGACACAGGCAAGGAACAAGAGATTTCTATAGGATCCTGTTCCAAGTGGATGTGACACAGGTAAAAAACAAGAAGAAGTACTCAAAACTTAGTAAAAAGGCTACAGATTTCTATCCGACACTATACACTTGAATTTCACCGGGACAGGACAAGTAGAAGTGACACAGGCAAGTTCCTTAAGCATCTAGACGTGACTGTACACTAGGGAAAAAAAAAAAAAAAAAACTACATGCAAAAAAAAAAAGAACTATACGAGGCCCTAAGGAGCATGAAACCAAACAAAGAACCAGGAAGAGATGGACTGACAAAAGGAAAAGCGAGGATCCTGGACCTTGGCAATGCTAAGAAAAGGCCCATCCCGCCCTAAGTGAAGGCGGGCCTGCAAAAGTGAGCCCTGGCCTGAGTATAGGCGTCTGTGAATGATTAATTTTATTTTTGGACTAAAAAGGAAATTGTTTGACTCTATGATCTCTATCTATCAAATAATTTCTTTTTCTGAATATTTATTGCTTTTGCCATCATTTATTGAAAAATATTTATTCACTATTCTTTTCAGGGTTGCCCTGAACCCGGACAACCGGACATGGACACCGGACCCGTGTCGGGATCAAACCGGACATCCATACATCCGGTCCCGGACAGTCCGGTTTGCTGTGTCGGTGACCGGTTGTCCAGAAAAAAAAAAAAAAAAATCCAAGCACGGAGCTCAAATGCACCAAGATTCCATCCAAATAAGAGCAAAGCAGTGAACTCGTGTGCCAATGTCATCGCCCTCAGGCCCCACCAACACAGATTCCAATGTCGCTCATCTCTGTCTGGCGTCATCGCCCTCCCATCCCTGCCAGCCCCTCCCATTCATCATCGCCCTCCCATTCATCATTGCCCTCCCATCCCTGCTCGCCCTCCCATCCTTCATCGCCCTCCCATCCTTCATTGCCCTCCCATCCCTGGTCGCCCTTCCCAGACCCTCCTCCCTCGTCACAAAAATGGAAGGAATATGAGCGAGAGCGATAGACAGAAAATCAAGTTGCAAAATCACGCAGAAGTCCAGATAGTCATGTACCAAGCAGAGAGCTCAAACGCACCAAGATTCCATCCAAATAAGAGCAAAGCAGTGAACTCATGTGCCAATGTTATCACACAGAGGGGCCTTTCAGGGCCTGTCCGGTTGGGGGACCAGTTCTCAAAAAACATCAGCATTATTTTTCCAGGGTACCCCAGGCCCAGGTAAACGGCCTGGGAACCCCAATTTTCTTTTTTGAATTTTTCGAAACTGGGGTCCAACCGGACGCTCCAAACGGACGCTGGACACCGGACACCGGACACCGGACACCGGACTGTCTGGATCGAGATCAGGATGTCCGGTTGGTAGCCATGATTCTTTTCTACTTATATTCTTTTTTTTTGAATCTTGTATTGTAATTATTGCTGGTATATTCCTCTTTCTTTTTTTTATATAAAAAACACAGAACCTTATGGTTCTGGCTCCTTTCCTTTCTGGGGAGCATCAGTCCTGTTCCTATTCCACTGGCAAGTCAGAAGAGATTATAATGGCTACTCACACACGCTCCTTCCCATTATGGTTGAGAGGCCCAAGTCGACGGCATTGATTACTTCCCGCGGGAAGGATGTACCACCCCTCACCCCTGCCTAAGTTAGCTTGAGTGACTTAACTTCTGATTCCGGGACTGGATTCTGCTACCTTTGTTTACAGCTTGGAGCTTACCAGTGAGGGCCTTGTCTAGCTTACTCCACTCTCAGCTACTTGGCTGTCAGATCTACTTTGCTAGCTTGGCCCAATAACTGTCTACCTTGCTAAGGAAACTCAAGCCTCTGGATTCTAGAACTAAAGTTCTCTGGACTAAGATCTATGTCTTCACTAAATCCCCTTCTACCTCCTCCTTTTTCTCTTTATTGGCCTGGGTAGCTATGCTAGTGAAGTTGGCACCAGGAGAGCCAGGAAGGTGTCTCTGTTGGGAGGTTTTGCAAGTCTAGGTCCCTAAACCCTAGGGTCCTCTATGGGGGTTTCCTGTTGTCTGATGTTGTCTGATGTTCTGTGGGGTGTGGCTTGGGGTGTCAATGGGCGGGGGCTAGGCGCTGTGGGAAGGGGGGGTTTAGTCCCGTGGGAAGATTTTTCAGTGTGCAGGGATCATAGTAGAGGTGGGAAGGTGGTGTTAGTTGAATGCGTGCTTGGGGTTGCGGGGTTGTAAAATTATTCGGTGGGGTGGGAGGGCATATGCGGTAAGTGTTTCGCTGCTTAGAGGTTTGGATCTGGATTTGACGTTGTGTGTGTGTGTGTGTGTGTGTGTGTGTGTGTGTGTGTGTGCGTGCGCGTGTGTGTGTGTGTGCTCCTTGTATTTTTTGACTGCAAATGGCTGCTTATGCAGAGCAAATGGGAGTCCAGAGTTGAGCAGAAGGAGATGGAGCTGAGGGCGTTGGAGGAAACAGTGGTGGGGGAAAGCCAAGCCTTGGCTGCTTCAAGGACAACCATTTCCGACAGGGAGAAAGCAGTTTCTGAACGTGAATCGGCACTCCAAGCAAGGGAACAGGTCTGTCATCAGCAAGGCCTACCATGCAATTTCAGAAGGGAAAAAGAAGGCTCATAAAAAAAATGTGTTCAGCTGATACATCAGGATTGAACTCAGCGTCTGTTTAGTTTACATAATCCTATACCTTGGAAGGCTCAAGTGAAAGAGAGAAAAAAAATCAACAAACTACAGCTTGCTGTCCTCACCTCTAGCAGGCTCGATGTCAAGGCCCCTGCAATCATTCCTTTCGGAACTCCTTGCTGTTCTCAGGTCTTTCCTTATAGGTGCATCTCTTTTGGAGTGACTTTCTTTGTGTCTATTTTCCATGGCTACGCTGGACCCGCACCCGGACGTTTCCGGACATGGAACCGGACCCGTGTCTGGTAGGACGTCCAGAATTCCGGAAATGTCTGGACAGGTCCGGAACATGGGGGGGTCCGGATGTCTGGACAGGTCCGGAAATGTCCGGACCATTAAAAAAAATAATAATAATAATAAAAATCTGAAAAAAAGTATGTTATGCAGAATGACAATGCAAACCACTTTTGCCTCAGATTCATGTCAGAATTCCTAACCAAAATTGAGTTAAAAGTCAAAAACTAAAAAAAAAACTTAAAAAAAGACCTAAAAAGGTAATGAATTATTAATAATTAAAAAATTGGGGTTGTCTAATAAATTATTATAGAGAGAGGGCATGTGCGGACCCCCCAAAAAAGCATAAACGGGCCTGAAAACCCCCCAAAACAATTTTGGGGGCGTGGCTCCTCAATGGGGAAGGGTCCTGGACCGTTTTTTTTTTGTTTTTTGTTTTCCTCGAAATTTGGCAGATCTGGACGTTCCAGACTGGACGTCTGGAGTCCGGACTGAGTCTTGTCTTTCTGGGATGCCTGCACCATTGTGAGGCATAGGAGTAGCATCATTTAGAATGCTATGTATTCAGAAAGCTAATTTACTATACTGAGTGACATTGTTGTTAATTTCAGAAACATCTAGAGTCCCCTGGCGCCTTTCTCCCGGCAGATTGTGAGCTTGGTGTTGAACTAACTGTGGACCAGTGGAAGAGCAGAACAGTGGAGCTGTACCCAGTCGGAATGGCTGAATGGTATACACTCAAAACTATTAGTAAACAGAACACAGGTTCAAATTCTGATGGAGTCAGATGAGCATAATAGAATTTTCGACTACTGTCTAAGCCCGTCTTCACCCTAAAAAACCGCCGGGGCATTATATTCAACTTACCCTAAAGAAACCAGATTTTTGTTCTTACTCACTTTTTTAAAGTTGTTTTCGAATAGAACGCCCTATGTGCCATGGGTGGAGTGCCTTTTTGAGGGAGTATACATGGGTTTTTACGGGGGAAAATGGGGTATACATGGGTTTAAAGGGGGTTGACTTTCAAGGTGTATGTTTTGGCTTGACTTTTTGTTTTCTTCTTTTGTTTCCGAATTTGTAAGGAATTCTGAAGTGACCCTCAGCCAAAAGTTTCTTGCATTGCAATTGTGGACAACATATATTTTTTTTTTCAGATTTTTTTTTTCTTTTCTTTTCTTTTGTCGCGTCCAGTCACCCGATGTAGACAGCGTGGCCAATGCCACATCAGCGATGAAGACAGGTGGCATGCGCCACATCAGCAATGAAGACAAGTGTCATGCGCCACATCAGCAGAGGCTGGCGCTCAGCATGAAGGCGCCAGCATGCTGCCTCAGTCCCGCGTCGTCGTCCACAGTGCCAGCGCACAGCCAGCATCCAGCCAGCATCAAGCCAACGTCTAGCTAGCGTGAAGCCAGCGTCAAGGCTGCATTCCATAGTGCCAGCGCACAGCCAGCGTCAAGCCAGCATCCACCCAGCATCCAGCCAGCGTCAAGCCAGCGTCAAGGCTGCATAGCAAGACTAAATGTTGACCCCTTGGAGGCAGGGCCTTATGTAGTGATTGACCGAGTTGACCTGCCTCAGATCTCCCACCCACGGTAGCCTAGATTGACTTACAGCCGAGGGCCTGGATTGCATACAGTTGCCGACTTTCACTTGGTCCTGATGCTGTCGTGGTACCTGCATAGAAACAAGTGTGTGTGTGTGACCGGCCGCCTGGGCTGGGTACATACAGACTTTGACTCTTGGCCCGCTGGGCAGTTGACCAAAGTCAACTGTCAGGCGCATAGGCCTTGGGCCAACAAGGGGGTTTCCCCCCCCTGGCCTTTGCGGCCTCAGATCGGGGTCGCGGCCTGCGTGTGGCCTGAGGGCCACTTCAAGGCATATCGAGCGGGGTATTGGATTCTTGCCGCCCCAAATTTCGAGTTCCATCGCAGAAATACATTATCTTTCTCTTAGCCCGCATTCATATGCAGCAACAATATCAGGAGCAGTAGGTAGTAGTTCTTTCTTACTAAACCATCTAGCTTCAGATGGAGGTTGAGACTTGAACTTTACCTTGTACTACTTCTGTTGTCTTCCCCTGCCACCTCTAGAGAAGTAGCCATGATCCATAATCTTTTCAACTTCATAGCCTCCATTCATGGAGGGTGGAAACATACATGGCTTGTTAGGAAACTCATCTCCTTCTACATATGGCAAGAGTTTATACGCTTGAAAGACAAGATAGGTTTGAAGGTGTGGGGGTACATCCACTCGGTAAGAAGGTCCGTCTGCGTCCCCAATCACCTTGAGAACTTCCCAGGGTCCGTAATAGACAGGCAACAGTTTTTGAGACACGTTCTCTTCCAAGGAAAACTCTTTAGACTTTACCCAGACTAAGTCCCCTTCTTGGAACTAAGAAGGCCGACAATGCTTGTTGGCCTGTTCAATCATCTGTAGCTGAGCTTTCTGTATATTTTCTTTTACTTTCTTTATGTCTTCCTCATATAAAACTGCGAATTCTCGAGTGTCTGGGGGTAACCTCTGAATCTGGTCCCGGGTTAGAGCATCAACAGGACGCCGAGGTTTCCAACCTTTATGCAGTGCATTTGGTGTTCTTCTGGTAACAGTATAGTGTTTGGGGGTAACCTTTGAATCTGGTCGCGGGATAGAGCATCAACGGGACGCCGAGGTTTCCAACCTTTATGCAGTGCATTTGGTGTTCTTCCGGTAACAGTATGTATACTATTATTATATGCACTTGCAATCATAGGTAAGTTCTCATCCCAATCTAACTGATCGGGCCGTGCATACATGCGCAAAAGTTGTTGGCATAGGCGATTCATTTGCTCAGTTTGGCCATTCGTTTCAGGGTGTCTACCCGATGACATGGTCAACCTCGTGCTATAGACTTCCATCAACTTCTATCATTGAATCCCAGTGAACCGGACATCCCTGTCGGAAACGATGGTTTTTGGAAAACCATATTATGAGACCCATCGCATCTGAAATTTTTGGATGCCTAGTTCAGTTTTAGCTTCTGCAGTCAAAGGAATGAACGTAGCGTATTTCGATAATCGATCTACAATGACCATTACCTGATTGTTGTCGTTTCGGCTCTTAGTAAGACTCATAAAGCCTATGGAGATAGAGTCACCTGGCTCACTTGGTATAGGTAGTGGTCTCAATAGACCTAGGGGATTCTCATGTGAGGGTTTGTTTCTCTGACAGACAAGACAAGTCCGCACATAGGTTAATACATCCTCTTTCATTCCTTTCCATTCAAAGCGCTCTCTTACATCGGCGTGCGTCTTCTTAAAACCAAAGTGTCCCTCAACATCATGGCATTCCCCAATGATTAGACTTTTGATATGTTCTTGGTGAGGAGTACACAGTCTTTCTTCGGTTTTATCCAAAAAGAAGAGTAGACCATCAATCATTCGGTACTCAGGGAATAGTTCAGGGTTTTTGTGTAGGATCCCAATGATAGGACTCCAAATAGGATCATTCACATAACCCTTTCATATTTGTTCTTTAAGTTCATTCCCAATATCGATATAGGAGACAACGGTACCAAATAAATTTGCACGCCTGGACAAGGCATCCGCAACAACATTAGACTTTCCTTTGATTGTTTTCAACTCAAAGTCAAAGGTATGAATGAAAGCAGACCATCCTACCAGCTTATCAGAGAGTCTCGGTTGAGTCTTTATCATGGTTGCCCTGGACCGGAACATCCAAACACCGGACACCGGGCCTGGACCCGTGTCTGGATTAATCCGGACGTAATCCGGACACCGATTCGGACAACCGGACATACGAAACCGGATGGTCCGATTATGAATGAACAGGTCCGGATGTCCGGATTAAAAAGAAAAGAAAAGAAAAAAAATAAACAAATTGACATGTTGTTGTAGTTGTATTTTCCATGGTTGTCAACCGGGCGTTCGGATCGGGATCCAGACGGTCCGGTCTGGATGTCCGAATCCGGTGTCCGGTTTGAGGTGTCCGGTTGGGCCCCATTTTGAGAAAATTCGAAAAAAAAAATTGGGGTCGCCAGGCAATTTTACATTGCCTGGTGGACCCCTGAAAATTGTTGGTGCAATTTTTGGTGGACCGTTGGGCCAACCGGACCGGCCCTAAAGGGCCTGTACTTGCAATCTTGGGTGAGCTTCAGCGGGCCAAGCAGAACTGGTTGTGTGTGTGTGTGTGTGTGTGTGTGTGCATGTGATTTCTCCCCCAACAGCCCCAATTCCACCCAGATGAATAGATTTAGAATCAAAGCAGTCTTTGTCGTATTGCAAACAACGAGAGCATTTGAGATAAGACTCTGTGTGTGTGTGTGTGTGTGTGTGTGTGTGTGTGTGTGTGTGTGTGATTTCCCCCCCAACAGCCCCAATTCCACCCAGATGAATAGATTTAGAATCAAAGCAGTCTTTGTCGTACTGCAGACAACGGGAGCATTTGAGATGAGACAGTCACAATCCAACATATTAAGGCAATTTTATAATTAGACAGTTTTCGGTTGTCCTTGGGGTACACTTCCATTGTTCTTGCAGTTGTGTGTATATGTGAGTGTGTTCAAGATAAGTCGTGTAACACAAGCTACACAACTACAGTAGCGTGTTTTTTTTTTTTTTTTTTTATCCGGACATCCGGGTCTGTATGTC